CTAGTTGGGTCACCCCTATGTCTTGAATTTGGGAGAAAAATTCATATTTTATTTATCGCTACAGAAGGGTTCAGTGAATGCGCAAATAAAACTGGTGGGTTCGGAACCTCAAAAAAGGTTAAGAACCACTGACCTAAAGCTTGAGATCTTGAATGATCGAGTTTTGACCTGGAGCCTCTGTCCTCCATTTTTGCTCTGCAGAATAACTCTGCTTCAGCAGGCATGACCAGGAGGAACACGTACGTCTGCAGCGACAGGAACAACACGGACCGCCTCTCGGTCATCCCCAACGGGAAGGAGAACAGGTGAGAGCTAGAAATCAATATGCTGTGATCTCGCATCTTGGTCAGAACAGTAAAGTTTCAGTTTGAACCGCTCATTAGGAATGTCCAATTTATTCCTTGATTATATTTTTTTTGTTTTTCTTCTTCTGTTCCTCCTTTTATTTCCACCTTGTCTCATGTTTTTTCCCCCCGCCTGTTTGTGATGTGGGATGTGTATTTTTTTTTCCCTTCCTCGTTTCGGCATGCCCAGCATGACTGAGATGGCTTATGCCACTAGCCCCTCTTCTTCTTCTGCCTTTGCTGCCGTCGTTTTCGGCGCCTCGTCCACTTCGGTACAGCAGAGGTATCAAACCGTCAGCCCTCTGTATGCTTGTCAGGCAGACTGGGCCACCCTGCCCCACTCCTACTACGCTCTGGACCGCTGCTCGGCCAAGTAAGACAGCAGGGCTCCCAGTCCAACCCCCCGTCTGTCTCCTGTTATGCATCAGCCCCATTTTGCCCTGCTAACCCACACATGCAGCTTCACGCTGTAACCCTGCAACTAAAGCACAGAATACATTTACAAAAACGTATATTAAACTTATTAACGCATGTAAAAAGATCTTCAACATGTCTGCATGTTTGAGGATAATTTACACTTTTCAGCCTATAAATGACTTTCAGTTAGTTGGTCCATCTTTACTGCTGGTAAAAGTGGTTCTAATTCCCCTCTGCTGCCCATATGACCCGTCTCTCTTTGGCCCGTTGATTTGTGGTTTTAAACCAGACATGGACCAGACCGGTTTTTTTTCCAAACTTATGTCTTTTCATGTCACAGATGCTCCATTTTACACCAAGGAAAGCAGGAAGAGGTCAGACTGAATGTAAATAATGTTTGAAGCAATCATTGCTTCTCTATTTAAAGGGACAGTAATCTTGTAAAATGGACTTTTTTTTAGCTTTACAATCAGGCTAGTTATTCCCAAAAACATGGGACCCAAAAAACAACCCACCACCGACCCGAGTTGCAGGTATCCGCTTTGTCTCTTTTCGGCTCCATTGCCTCAAACTAACCACATTGACATGTCAGTTCCTGTTGCTAGTCATCATTTTGTTGCTCAGCTTCAGAACTGATCAACACATGACGACATGTGCAGCATCAGTCTTGACCTTAGTGTACAGAGTGAGGAGGGGCCTCCCTAGTCGCCACAGACCGTCCAGCCTGGAGTCTGATGGTAGCAGCAGTCAGAAAGTGAACAGCCATTCAGAAACGGTCAGATCTCAGCAAAAACTATCTGAAGGGAAAAAAGAAGATTGGCTGACTGAAATTAGCCAGACCAGTGACTGGCTAATTTCCACCGGTCACTGGTGGGCCCTGACCGGTCACTGGTGGGCCCTGACCGGTCACTGGCTGGTTGGAAGCTTAAAATCCAATCCAGTTTTTCCCCTCCATTAGTGAACAAAGCACATAAAAAGCTATAGCATGTAACTTTAAAAAAGTCATTGACACAGAAATAAGTTAATTTAAAATTAAAAACAAATATTTTCTCTTTGGGACTAATAAAGTATTTTTCAGTTGAATTGAATGCAGCCTTAATGAAAAGTATGTTTAATAGCTATTAAACTGGTTGTCAATTTTCAAAACCTACTTCCAGTATGTCAAATGAGCTTCATTGGAACGCATCTTTTACTTTATTAAATACGACTGTATCGTTGTTGGAAATGAGCCACAAAACTCTGATCAGTGAATCTCTGGGATTAAGCAAAGAATATTGTCATATTTCATATTTCCATCCTTCCCCTGATGATCCCCTGCTGCTGCAGCAAACATCAACAACCTGCTCCTGATCTCACCTCAGTTTTCTGTTGTGAACTCTGACCCTGGACTCCTCATCTTGCTCACCTCCTAATGGACGTCAGAGGTCCTTTGCTCATCGTCTGTCCTCCCTTCACTCTGCACCTCTATGCATTCATGTCCGGGGTGGAAAGCTGCTCTGGCTTTTATTTTTCTGTTGTAGTTTGAAGTGAAGTGAATTTACATGAGACAGGTTTTCCCAAGTTTATGGATGTCTGGCTTTAACTTGCTGATTTACAATTGAATCTGGGTTAATTCTAGTAATTTATGCTGTTAAGGAGAATAGGAAGAATTCCAGTTCTAGTAGCTCATCATTTTAACAGATAAATGATCAAAAAATATCCTTTTTAACTAGGGCTGGGTGATGAGTTTATTATAACAATTCATCAAATTTTTTGGCATCTTGAAAGGTCAATCTCTGGGAAATCTGGATTTTTTTATTTTTACCACTGCTGTCTTTAGATTCCATAGTTCAAAGTGACGTCAGATTTTGGTTGCCATTTCGTTTGGAAAACCTTCTTTACAGCTTTTATTTATTTGGACTTTGAATTCAACTCTGACTAAGTATTAAGACCAGGCTTAAAAGTATTATTTTATTTATCACAAGAATAAAGTCGTACAACAATAGAATCAAAATAATACAACAATAAAGTCATAACACAACCAGAATTGGGTCATTTAAGTATAATAAATGAGTCATTTTACAAGAGTTCCTACACAAAAATTAATATTTAAACTAAGGTAATAATCTCTTAACATATCATCATCAAACTTTGAAACAATCGTGCAAACAGCTGAAAGAACCACACAGACTGCGTTTGTCACGTCAGATCATAACTCCATATGCAAACTTTCCTTGTAATTGGATCTGGTGTGAAAAGTGTCGCCCAGCCCTACGCTTAATGCTTTTATATTTGTGCTTCAGATTTCTTTGGTTTTCCAGCCAGGTGCTGAAATGTGTCATTGTTTTTAAATCCACCTGCAAAGACAAATACATTTTTCTCTGTTTATATCTGACGTCTCAAAATCCAAATTCAGTCGCAATTTTCGTTTCAAACTGGAACTCTTTAAAAATCTTGTTGTGCACACAGATAAAATTATTTCAGATCTATTCAGTATTTTGCATGTCATCTGGCTGCACTAAAACAACCAAAGTTAAACGTGAAGCATCATCAGACCGTGACCTCTCCCTCCTTCCACCTCAACAGTGTTGCCGTGTCGCCCGGTGGCCAGAGGAACCCGGTGGCGTCCACCCACAGCATCAGCAATGCCACCACGCCCGACCGCCTCCGCTTCCCCCGCGGCACGGCCAGCCGCAGCACCTTCCACGGCGGCCAGCTGAGGGACCGCCGCACCGCCACATACAACGGGCCGCCGGCGTCCCCCACCCTGTCCCACGACGCCACGCCCCTGTCCCAAACCCGCAGCCGCGGAACCAGCAACCTGTTCTCTAAGCTCACGTCCAAACTCACCCGCAGGTAGGTGTCTGCTCCTCAGCAGGTTCATCAAGCTGGGCTGGAGTTCAGCTCACAACTGTTCTGAAACGTGTCGCTTATCACCGACTCGAACGTTCAGGATGATCCCGGCCCTTTGCAGACGATAACCTCAAGGGGTCGTTGAATACAAAGCCGTGTCCTACCTGTGTCCATGTTAGTGGGACGGCTATGGTGGATAGGAAACAAAGAGGAGCAAATTTCCAGCAAAAATCTTTCTAGAAAAAATTTGGCAATTTCTGAGTTTGAAAGTTGAAAATTTGTAAGAAAAAATTCTCAATTTTAAAAACATTTTTGGTGGAAAATTGCTTCCTTTTTTTCTTTCTACAATAGCCTTTATACAGCATCTTGTATGGGAGCACTTCAGTGTTCTGATCATGATTTTTATTAATATAATTAAATCTTAGTGGTTCATGTCGTTGCCTGGTTGGCTGCTGAGAAGCTCTGAAGGAGCTTCAGATGGAATAACTGGACTCCATCTGTAGGAACAGAAAACGATGACAAATGAGGATCAGGGCAGCTGACCCTGACCAGATAAATATTCAATAAATCAATACACAGCATTGTTTTGGTAACAGTTGTTTTCCATGTAACGTACGGTGTTTCACAAATGTATTCACACCTCTTGACATTTCTCAAATCACAATCATCAGTGCATTTTATTGGAATTTCATATTATAGAACATTTTTTTGTGAGCATCAGTTTTCCAAAGGAGCTAGGTCTGGACTTGAACTGGACCGTTTTATAACAAAGAAATGCTTTGATCCAAACCTTTCCATTGTAGCTCTGGCTGTATGTTTGAGTTCATGCTGCTCCTCCATAAAGTTCACGTTTTGGCCTCTTGGCTGTTTCTCTGAATAACTGGCTCCTTTTACAGCCTCTCTGTTTCGGTGGGTGAACCAGCAGCTGATGCTGTTTTCAGATGTATTCACTGCGGTCAGATTTCTCTCTGACCGGTCCACTGTGTTCCTGGGTCTTCACGATTTCACTTATTCTGTAACTGAAACTATTAGTCATGATGAATCAATTATTGAGATAACGTCAGCTAATTCAGTAATCGATTAATTGTTATACAGACAGCCAAAACTGTACAAAATATTTAATCTTTTACCCAGAATTCCTCATAGTTTTGGCTACACCAGATTCAAATTTCTTATTAAAAATTAATTGAATTATTTCCTTTTTTTGTATAAAAAAGGCTTATAGGCTAAATAAAAACATTGAATATGCCAATTTAATTATACAATTAATCGATTAATGGTCAGAATAATTGGTATTTTGACAATAATACAGAGTCGATGTCAGAATGCAGGTAAATTTTCTTAATCAGAATAATTATTTGCATTGATGATTTACTACCAGGGGAGTTCTGAAGGGTCTGTTGTAGCTATATATTATATTTAGAGTCCTTACTTGGTAAGATGTATTTTTCTTCCACTGAGACGGTTATGCTCTACTCTTAGTCACATGAAATCCAAATAAAATGCACTGAAGTTTCTTTCTACTATGAGAATGTGACAAGCCTAAAAGGGGTGTTAATATTTTGCACACTGACACACACCAACTAGTTTCTGCTCCTTTTTTCCTTCAGTTTTTAAGACAGAAACTCATTTCTGAAAGCGAAACCCAGCATTAGCTTAACTTTTAGCTTTCTCATTGGTGTGTATTCCTGTTGGAACCCAGCCTACGCGTGTGTGAAGCAGCAGTCAGGTCAGCGACATCCAACGACGACTGACCTAAAAAAAACGAGTCGTAATCATTTCATGATGAATCGGAGAAGGAGAAACGACGATTCCAACCACCGCCATTTTTTTGTTCATGCACTCAGCCCCCTCATGCCCCTCCCCACTCCCCTTCCTTATCCCTCCCACTTTCTCTTTCACCATTCTCACTGTTTCTTTGTTTGCCTCTGTTGTAGAAACATGTCATTCAGGTTTGCCAAAAGGTAGGACTCCTGCTCTGTTCTCCGCTCTGTACCAATTATAACCAGATGGGCCTCACTGAGAAGCTGCGACTTGGTTTCTGAGCCGAGTGGGGCTGCTGGCACCAAACTAACACCTTGCTCTGTTTGGGGGCATCTACACACACAGCTTCCAAACAGACCAACTTTGCTAAGTCTTCCAAACGGATGGTGTCAAAAGTTGCTTTAGCGCTGATGTAATGAAGTAAAACTCTGTCCTCCATTTTGCTCAGAGAGGAGCCGTGTGTGTAAATGCTCTCCGTGTGTCTGCGGTTGGTCTGAGTGGCTGAAAGCTGATTGATTGAGCCGACCAATCAGCCGATAAACCAACAGCAACAACGAAGCAGCTTGTCACTAATCAGTCGTCAGCGCATGCATGGGGTCGCTTCTTCCAGCCGCCATTGACTGTGGGTCATTTCCGCCCCACAGTCATCGTCGTGCACAACACAGCCGCCATTAGACGGAGCTTTAGACATTATTCTCCTGCATTATTATTATTCTAGGTGCGCAGATGTACGCTAGTCCTGGTTTGCGTTCTTCTTGATTTCGACTGATGAATAATAATAGAAAGACTAAACGACAGACTAGTTCCCTCCTTCTTAAACACAACCTGGGTTATTTTGTCAATTTCCTATAAAAGCTCGGTGGACATTTCATTACAGTGTTGGTCTTAAATTCTTCAGTCCTTTCTGCAGATTAACACCACACCGTGTTAAATACATCATAGTTATCCTTCACCAGAAAGCTTGAACATTTTCAACCTTGGTGCCATCAGATACAACGTAAAGATTAGATTGTTACTAACAAGTTGCCACAAATCTTTGAATCTCCAATAAATTTTGATTGCAGAATTACTATATGAGCCAAAACATCAGCTTGTGTTTGGTCAAAATGCTGCCATCATGGCCGGATTTACAAGGATGTGGCTCCTGGGTTGAAGCCCGTTTTGGTGCCTCATACACTTAAAATAAATCTTTCATTTTTGCAAATGACAGTATATTTATACATAAGGCTGTATATCAGCATGTATGAATTGATGCATTGTGGGTTTAATAATTCTCTGGCCAGTGGCTGCATGTTGTTCCCCAAAATATATAGAACGTCACAATTATGTTCATAAAAATCCCCAAATTTTAATTAATTTCTTCTGATACGAGCCTATGAGTTTTATTTGGGCATTTAACATATCATTTATTGTGATAAATTTCTTAAGAATTTTGATTTATTGTTATGATAAATTTCAGTTAATGCTGTTTAAAATCGGATTGAAGTGATGCCCACTCCCAGCTGCAGGTGGCAGTATTTGTTTCTTCTGCTGCCTCAGTGTTACTTGATAAGTCCTCGTCCACGATCATAAGGCGAGTAACAGTCACATTTACCCGTCCTACATAAGTGCAAATATCACAATTTAATTTTTTTTTTTTGCAAATATTTCTAAAGTAGCACCACAAAATCAGTGATTTTGATTGATTGGGACTGACTAGGTATTTAATTTTAAGAAGGACGCAGAGCTATTGCTATTTACAGTTTAATCCGTTTTATCAATACGTTCTGGTACCATCAGCTTTTTGGGAACATTCAGGATCTTGTCATAGACCAAAATGAAAGAGTTGACACCCCTGTGAAAGTTTTAAACGTTATCTGTCGCGACTTAAAGAACCGGACAGGTTCCTTCAGAAGACATAAGAGTCGAGGTGTTGACTTCATGAGTCGTAACGAAAGCTTTAGGTTGATAAAAACAGTTATGGATCATTTTATGGATCATTCTGTAGACTGTGGCGTGTTTAGCACAAAGTGTAGCACAGCTCCTGGAGTGCTGGCCTGAGGTCGACGGCGGCCTCCGGTGGCTGCTCTGGGAACCTCCATCTCAATGACGATGCAGGGCTTCCTGTCACTCTGTTCCAGTCTCACTCAAACACCTTTCACTTTTTTCTGTTCTCATGTCTGCGGAGATGAAAAAATGTAGTAAAAGGTGTGAAGCCGTTGCTGTTTATCCCCCCTCTGTAGTTTTTGAACTGTCTGATAACCTTTTACTAAATTTTGTCAGCTCTGAGTCTCCGTACTTCTCTTCACATCTTGGGACTTGATCAGTGAGTTTTCATCTTTTTTTTTTTTTTCTTTTTTTTTCCCTCCTCAGGACATTTTAGGCTGAGTCACGTCCTCTCCTCTCCTCACAGCTTCTGTGTTTTTTGTCTTCCTTACCTTCTCGTGTCCTTAACTTTTCCCTCTTGCTGCTCTTCCTCTCTGCCCAGGGTCAGTATTGACCCGGCCAAACGGCAGATAGCCAAAACAGGGCCTACCAACCCTTCTACCCAGGGAGGAAAGACCCTTAGTAAGTCTTCTGCCCTTTGCTTTCTTTCTCTCCTCATTTCTTTTCTCTTTTTATTTCCTCCTTCCTTTTTCATCATCCTGCCATGCTTTTTTTCCCTCCTCTTTTTTTTTTTTTTTTTGCCCCGTCCTCATGCCATTCATTTTAATATTCTTTCCTTTGTTTTTTTCCCCGGTGTTTCAGTTTCTTCAGATTCCGATCTCTTTCTTTCAGATTCTCGAGCAGAAGATATAGAGAGTTGTAGGAAGATGAAGATCTAGAGTAAGGGTTGTTTCGATCTCCTAATTTGTCCCTGAGGAAGTCTCTAAAGAAACAGTCTGGTTTTCAGACGTTGCTCCTCCTCATGTAGTGTTTTTTTGTTGTTGTTGTTTTCTGCGCCATTTTGGCTGGCCCAGGACCTGCTGTCAGTCCCGTCTGTTCACTTGTCCTCTTGTCCTCTTCTAGATGTTAAACTGTAGTATTCCACACATCTTGTTTCCCCCTCGCTGCAGTGCATGATGGGAGCCTGTCCAGAACACCCGTCCTGTCAAAGGAGAGTTTTGATGTTGCATTATTTAAATGTTATTTCTGTATCTAAATGCTTTTAGCGACGTGAGCGCCATCAGAAAGATGTTTTTGATCAACTTTCAGTAGAAGTCTGTAAAATTATTTCAGAGTTCTCATTATTCATTTAGGTTGCCATGGTGACATCACACTGCTGTGAGAGTCACTGTAAAATATGATTTTTACTGTGTTAAAGGCAAAATGACTTGGACTTGACGTTTTTAGCTGTTTTAGTGTATTGGATGTTTAGGGTTGCTTGCAGTAACGACGGATCTCTGCAGCTTTTTCTAGAAAAGGTAAATCATTATTTCACCTCAGATTTTCAGAAAGCTGCCAAGTATTTCCAAATCCATCGTATTTAATGACAGCCGGAGGTTAACGGCTGACCTTCTGACCTCTGCAAAGGTCAGAAGGTCAGTCACTGACCTCTTTTAGTGTGCTGTGAGAGGTTTGATGCAGTTAAAACCACTGTTGCTAAATGAGCAACATTGTCACTATATTTGGCAACTTTTCAGTAAAAAAAATAAATAAATAAAAAATCGAGTTGGTCCAAAGTCAACATAGGCCGGTCAAGCTTTTTAAAGATTGGTGATCTGCCTGAAAACTGGACTTGATGATGATCAGCCTTCCTGTTATCTACTGAAGCCAGCTCGCCTCTCTGCCAGCACAACCAGCCACACTAAAGCAGAACACGACCTGATCTCCTGTAACAGACTGGAAAGTTGTGTACGACTCATCAAAGACATAACGTGACGAACACACACCAGCGTGAAGCATCTGGAATGAAAATGGTTTCTTTTTTATTAAATGCCCTCTTACATGTTCTGTTCCTGAAAACAGCTAAAGCTGAATCTGGACACCGCAGGGTGGCTCCTGTCTGTCAGTGGAGCCGAAAATCAGCAGCAGCACTGATTTCTTGGTGCGCCTTTAGTAAATATGGAGAAAAAAAAATGAAACAATTGGAGAAAATAGTTAAAGGGAAGAAAAACTGTATTTCTGTGTCTCTTCACATAAGCAGATGAAATCATCTCACATTAAATCAACTAATATTTCAGTAAAGCAGTCCACTCATTAATGGACAGATTTGATTGGAGATGCACCGATCCCATATTAATATATGGATTGTTCCTGATATTGAAAAAAATTCTAGATCAGGAATCATGACAGTGTTCCCAATTCACAAGGGCAGCTCTATTCAGTCTAATTCTACACTGAATCTACTAACGCATGAGCAACGTCATGCTTTATTTATTTTTACATTATTTTTAGAATTCTTAATTCCACTTTCTGAGCCATTTGACAGAAGGTTTGTTAGTTTAGTTTTTACATATTTGACCAAAGTAGTCAACCTGTTGTTTTAATCAGTTTATTATTTATTTTCCATTGGCTGTTCTACTCCTAATTTCACTGACTGAACAAATGAAAGTTGGTTTTCCATGTTTGACCAGCTGGTGGCGATGTTGGTGTGTTTCAGTGAGCTGTTCTGGTGCAGAGTTAGGAAATAAATGTGTAATTCAGTACATTTATGTCTGTTTAAAAAAGAAAAGAATAATTGTTCTAGGTCCGTTTAGCTGATACTAAACCTCAGATTTCGGTATCGGTAGTGAAAAAGTGGATCGATGCATCCATAGATTTAACATTGTTGTTTGTTTTTTTGTTGTTTTTTTTAAAATATACGTTTCAATCTTGCAGTCAGTCTGCAGCAGTTATTTTTTAGTTCTGCAAAATAGATGCTGCTGGTATTTAACATGACTCTCGAGAGTTTTTTTTTTTTCTTCGTTTTAGTTTTCGTAAGGACAGTGGAAAGCCCAGCGTGTCGTTCTCAGGTTGTTCAACCAGAAACTGAGCTCATTTTAAACATCCCCTTTAAGACACACGAGTTGGAACCCGATGATGAAGCCCAGGACGTCTTCCTCACCTCACAGTGGACTAGACGTTGGGTCGTTAGCGTTCTGCAGTCACAGGAACGTCGACTGGACTGTGAACTTCACATCTCGCTGACTGCAAACCCGGCAGCTTCATCTGCTCACTGACTTTTCCTAACTTAGAATGAAAAGCGATTGATCTCCTTCCAAATGATCCTGATAACATTTAGTAATTGACACATGAGATCTTCAATCTCAATCAGGCATCGACTCGATCTTTTCCGAGAACTTTTTCGCAGCTTCTCCGTCTTCCTTTTCTCATCCCACCTGCTTGGTTGCTGCTGTTTTGGGTTGAAACTCCGCCGCCGTGTTTTTCTGTTTTCTGTCGTTGCTTCCAGATGAACGACCCTCACCGTTTTGGTTTCTTTCATCACTTTTTCTTCTTCACTGACATTAATGGAAGCCAGCTCTTCCATCTTTCTTTGTGTTTCTAATTTATTTTTGTTGTTGGTGGTGGCTCACACTGTCGCTCACGTATTCCGTCACACACTTTTTTTTTTTTTCCATTCACTGAAATTGATCAGAAATGATTTCTGTTGTGCACAATCCACAATCTGTTTTATTTTCTTCTCCCCTGACTCCCCCACGCCTCCCTGTGTGAATCTTCTCATGGCGCCTCAGAGTCTCAACCGAGTTTGAGAGAAACGGGAGACTTGAGGGCTCAAGGTGAGCTTATACCTGCCCCCCCCCCCAACGCTTCCCATGTAGCGTCAGGCCTGCGCTGCTTTGCCCTGAGTGTGTAGGAGTTGCAGCAGTGTGTTGAAGCTTTGTTGCTGCGGTTGCATGGCTGTGTGACGTGCCGCTCTGCTAACGCTGCATGCTAGCTCTTCTGTTGGCCTTTATTTCTGCTGAAACGTCTCTGGTTTCTGTTGAGATTCTCCAAAAAATACTCCTTTACATGATCTATGAAAAACCCAGACAGCGGTGGGAGTTTGGGGGGGGGGGGGGGTTTTGTAAAAAAAAATTTTTAAAAT